TTTTTTTTTAATTTGAACCATCGCATTTTTATTCAAGAGCCATAAAGTGTATCTGCAGGAACACGACAGCTGTGATAGCACATCGGTCACTGTCTTCTCGGATGTGTCTCAGCCTATAGTTTGATTGTTCCCTGCAGAATAGTGATGGTCTGTCCAGCTATGTTGATTCTTCCATCATCTCTCACTTCAAGTTCCAGCTCGCCGCCACGACTAGAGCACTGGTAAGCTGCAGAAGCCGATTGATAATGGATAAAAAAGTGGAACACAACATCAGTTATCAGATAAATGACACATTAGTAATACGTACCCAGCAATTTCTTCTTTCCTAGTTTGTCAGACCAGTAGCTGCCTAGGACTGTGTGGGCAGATCCTGCCAGAGCACATAAGCAGGAATAGGTTAACATGTAAATGCATCCACTTTAATCACTTTAGTCCAGCTGCTTATATGTAAATGTTTTTAGACACACAAAAGTTCAGAATGATGTTATTTGATGAATAATAACTATAGATTACATATTAGTGAAGGGCAATCATCTTACCAGTGACAGGATCCTCAGGGATGCCAACCCATGGAGCAAAGTTTCTGGAGTAAAAGTCATATCCTGGCTGGCAATCCGGTGATCCTATTTCCACATTTTAGCAGCGTTTGATATTTAATGTTTGTTGGCAGAAACATTCAGTGAATGTTGTTATACAAATTAAAATGAGCAACAAACAAGTCCACAGGACGGTGATGGCAAAGTACTGTGCTCTTCATCACCATCATCATTAAAACACCAAATGAGGGAATGTTTTTAGCAGAGTGCTGTTCACCCCTCCAACAGGGGTGCATTGAAACTTTTCTGCTGGTACATGGTGGGACAACACCTCACTTAAACACTTCATGTTGGGTTTTCTTTGGTTTATTCTTAAAGGGAAGCATTGACTCTCTTCAATTTAATGGAATTGCTACATGTGGTCTGATCCAACAAGTATACAACTCTACACAGCTCCGATTACCTTTCATAGTGACGACGACGGCTCTGACTCTTCCACTTCTCTCACTATTCTGAAGAGCCACACTGTCAACTTTCAGATGGGTAAGCATGGAGCTGGAGATAACACACAAAAAGCACATATAAATTTACAAAAATGTGATGAGTGGGTGTTGAAGGCTAGTTGCTTCTGCCTTCAAACATATGAATAAGCCCCATTACCTGGAAGCCTGAGAAATACAAATGTTTAAGACTTCATGAACAACAGGACCATGATTCAGATTCCTTTCAATTTGGCAACAAGCAAAGCTTTTTTTTTTTTTTACTAACGTGTCACAGCTGTCAGCCAGTCGAATCAGCAGCTTCTTGGTGTTGTTGGACAGATAAACTTCCTGAACCGGGAGGTTTCCCACTGCCGCCTGTGTCACACATGTAAAGGCAGAGACTTAGCTGAACACACTCAGACACAGACACACACACACACACACACACAGGAATGTAGCTACACTTTCACAAACTGTTCACAAAAATATGATTTCTGACCTTGATGGTATCTATGAAGTCGTTGGGATCCTGAAATAAAAGGAGTTCAGAAAGAAACCATTTTACATACACTGTTAATAAAACACAAGAATCATTTTATTTATTTTTGACATTACAGGATTTGATGAAAGTGTTTATGTAACTAAAGAGAAAAGTTTATTTTACCTGTCGTGTGGGGGGGTTCAGAGGAAAGTCCATGATGTACCCTTCCTCCTTCTGGGTGACGCACAGATCTCCACTCTTGGTCTCAAACACCAGGGTGGG